AGGGGTAACAGTTTTTTTAATTCTTAAATTAATTTTAATTTGCTCTTTTAATTCTGTAATGACATTTCATATTGTTTTGAGGCTTTTTAAAATTAATTGGTTACCGTGGTTCTTAATTAAAATTCTCCTAAAATTTACGTACTTATATTTAAATGTAAGAAGTGGATAATAATTATTGCCTGACGGAAGAAGTACACTGAGCCATCTGATCTAGAGCTATAAAAGTAGGCTTAAAGTGACGGGACTACACGTTATTTATTTCTCCGGATAGGACTACACTTTCCCCGTACAAGCAGTAAGGCAATGGTTTGTTATTGAAAATGCAAGTTTTTGTCATCAATGAAAAAAATAGGAAAAATAATAAATAAAGACTTTCGAATTGTCAAAATTACGTAGAGGTCATCTGAACAAGTAAAATTATCATGAAAGACCCAGTCTCATATTATAAATATGAAATCTTGACGAAATGTATGAAATACTCCACAACCAAGTTGTGATTTGGTTTACTAAAGTTGTCATTGGTTAAAGTAAACTTGTTATTTTTCATAGTCAACTTGTCATTTAGCATACCTTTAACCAAGTTGTGATTTGGTCTATTGGAGTTGTCATTCGCTAAAATGAACTTGTCATTTGGCTAAGGGTATTTTAGACATTTCATCAACATTTTATATTTACAATATGGGATTGGGTCCCTCATGGTAATTTTACTGATTCAGGTGCTTCTGCGTAATTTTGATAATTCAGGAGTCTTTATATGTGATTTTCTCAAAAAAAAAATTGTGGTCGAGTATATATTATTATTTAGCATTTAGTTTTTTATTATTATTTTTTATCTAAACTAACAAATATATTTTAAAATATATTATTATTATACGAAAAATATAATTTTAGAAAATGGCTATCACTTTCGTTTCAGTGCAGACTTGTGTTCCAACTTCATCGCATTCTTGTATTAGAAGCTAATTTAATTATGAAAAAAGATCAATAATTTGAAAAAATATAATCAAATTTTAAAATTTTATTATGATTTAATAATAATTGATTAAATTTAAAAAATAAATGATAACACATTTTTATAATCATTTTTAATTTGAAATTGTAAAATTTTAGAGGTATTTTTATAGGTATTTTCTCAAGATCTTTCCTCTGTTATTCCCCTCCTCTATCCTCATCTTCAATCTTTTTCATATTAAACTTTAATGGTTTAAATTTATTTACATATTTTTAAGTAAAATTATTATAATATTTAATTTTATAAATATTAAATATTTATCATTATATTTTATCCCAGTGCTAATGAAAAAAAAAGGAGGGCAAACAAAGGGTGGTGGAGGAAATCTTTATTAACAACTTCAGTACTTGGTCATGTGGAAACTCAAAGCCTCATGCTTAAACAGCTGCGGCTCTTCCTACTATAGCCAATGGATTTCGATCCTCTCCTCATCCTTTTTATCTTCTAAATAAAAAAATAGAACGGTTGATATTCAAGAGTATTTAATAAGATCAATTTTTATTTTTAGGTACTTCTTAGTCGAGAATTGTCTAAAGTAAATTTCTATAAATTGAATTTATATATTTAATTTTTATATAGTATTATAATCATAATTTTATGAGTAAAATACTCTAAACTCCCTTGTATTTTGTCTTAATTACACAGACATCTTCTTTATTTTGAAAACATACATTTAATTCCAAACTGTTAACTCTGTTAAGAATATTTCAAAAAGAATTTTTTTTAATTCAAATTCATATTGAAATACTTTTTATTTGCTAAATTACCATTCATAATATAAAATCCCAAAATCTTGGTTAAAACTATATCCAAGAATTTAAGATTTTCTCCTTTACTTTAATTTTATTTTTTTATTTTTAAAAATTGTTGTTTGTTTAATGTTTTTATCGTATTGGGCTAAAAAGATTAAGTAATTTAGTTAATGAAAACATAAATTTAAATGATTTATATAAGTTTTTAAACTTGCATAACTTATATTATGTGATAAGAAAATAAGCATTCAAAATATTTTATAACCATCGAAAAAAAATCTTAAGTTTCAATATTTCATGAGGAACTAAAATTATATAATTCTATAATATAATTGAAATTAAAAACTTTATAATATATTAAAAATTTTGAAAATGTATGTACTATAATTATTTTTTGTTGTATCGAAAATTATTTTAAAATAGATATAAATGTTTAAAGAGGGATATTTTAGTCAAAATAAAAATTTAAAAGTTAAATTTAGCGTTCAACTAACGGTTGGATAGATGGAAATTAAATCTTAAAAATATAAGAGAGGTTTGTGTAACATATATTTTAATTTGAAAGGAAGTTTATATATGTTTTCAAAATAAAAAGGATGTTTCTGTAATTTAAGTAAAATAGAGGGGTAGTCAATGTATTTTACTCTAACTTTATAAATGAGTACACTTCAACCGTTTATTTAGTAATTTAATGTTCCCCCCTATGTTTTTTTTGATAATATCATGTTTAATAAAATAGTTAAAATTAATTAAAAATAAAAAATAAATTTGTAAAAAAAGTAAATTTTTTAAAATATATCTTTAATTAATAAAGGTCAAATGAGAGACAGAAATCTTAGCAATGGGATAAACGACGCAAGATAGCGTGATATGAGGAAAGATAATGAAAGACCGGAGAGAACAAAATAATAATTATAAAAACATATTTAATATTTAAAAGATTTTATAAATAAATAGGATCAATTTAATTCAAATTTTAATATGATCCGAAAAGTGCAGAAAGGAGGAGTAGCCTAATAGGAACTGACAATGAGAAAATGAAAAATAAAAGGGAAAATCTAAAAAAAAAAAAAACACTTGGAATATAAGAAATTTCAGATTGGGTTCTAAAAGTTTTCAAATGACAGAAAGGGTCAATGACTCAATCTGTCATTTGAAAAATCAAGAAGAATTGATAACTTTACTCTCATTTATATTCACTACAATGATTTAAGGAATCACTATAAGGGTTTAGGTGTTACCTAGATTTGTGTAGAGAATAACTACTTACTTTTTTACAGTCATGTGCTTTGTAGTTAATAACAAAAGTGAATAGTTATTCTCTACACAAATCTAGGTAACACCTAAACCCTTACAGTGATTCCTTAAATCATTGTAGTGAATACAAATGAGGGTAAAGTTGTCAATTTTTCTTGATTTTGCAAATGGCAGATAGGGTCATCGACCCTTTCTGTCATTTTCAAAATTCCAGGACCCAATCTGAAATTTCCTATATTCTAAGGGTTTTTTCTGGAATTTTTCCAAAATAAAATAGTTCAAAAATGTGATATTTTAAATTAGGTATTTAAAATTTGAAAATGATAAAAAAAGAAAGTGATATCTGATATAATATTTTGCAAATGTAGTTAAATAACTAAGGGCCTATTTGAAATAGTTTATAAGTAACTTTTTAATTGTGATTTACAAAATATAAGACAAGTATATGAGAGAAATTTTATTTCGATTTATGTGAAATATAATTATAAGGGATTTTCACCGCTATCCAAAACAGACCATAAAATATCATTATATTAAAAAACCTTATTAATAAGTTCTTAATTGATAATGACAAATGTTGAATAGCAAAGAATAAGAAATCTATTGACAAATTATTCCTCTAATCTTTAATACAGGACTAATTGTTGAATTAATTTTGATCCTAAATATAATACCTATTTTTTATATTTATCAATTTTTTCTAAATTATCCCTATAGATACTCTCCCAACTATGATCAAGTAGAAGAGGAGAGGATGATATTAAAGAAGATGATTATGTTGTTTTGGAAAATTAATATCATATGTTTTATAATTAACTAACTTAGCTAACTTTTTTAATCTAATCAAATTAGTTAAATATGTTTTATATTAAAGATCAAAATAATATTTATTAACAAATTGTAAATTTTGACAATAATAAATATTAAACAACAAATATAAATATTTTAATTATTTAATTGTATTTACAAAATATCATGTTGAATACTATTTTTTAGGTATTAAGGGGTGTTTAGATATCCCAATAATAACTTTTTAGAAGTATTTTTTTGTAAATCGAAATAAATTTTTTTACATATTTACTTTATATATGTAAAAGTATTTATGAAATTTTGATTTTGATCTTCTCCGAATACTTCGAAAGTTGAGAATTGATCATTCTAGGAGGAGAAAAAAGAGAGTTCAAAAAAAAAAAAAAAGGAGGACTGTTGAGAGCAAATTTTGAATGGCATTAAAAACATGATATCTGATAGATTTCTTCCAGTTGCCTACTCTATATTCTAGGCCTGCGCAGGAGAATACAGGGTTCTCTCGCCCTTTTCTTTTTGTTTTGTTTTGTTTTTTGGAAATACAAAAAGCAAGTTAGAAGAACCAGTGGAAAGAAACAGATCGAAAACTCGAGAAGAACCGCTGGGAAATGTCGGCTCTCATAAATGTGAGGCATGTACTCAGCAAAAGCTGCATGTTGCTACTCAGTTGGTGAGCGTCTTTGGCAAGAAAATCTGCATGCTTGAGTGCAACGCGTGGAGCAATACGCAATTCAATCTCCCAGTCAGAGCAAAGGAGGTCTCTGATCTCGTTAATTTCTGATCTGAGTGGGTGATCATGGCAACCATCCTTGAAAATAAGGTTGAAAGCTTCCATTGAGTCAGTGTAGACAGATCCTTCGGTATCCAGTCGAACATATTCCTCTGGTGGCGGTTTCCGGTGACTATCATCAAAACCATCACGCTTGAAAATCTGGTGTACTGTTTGAGTTTGTCCGTAGATAGTGGATTCCATAAGTTGAGCTAAACCCATTGTGAATGATTTCTTTCGCTTGACTTCTGGCATTTTCCATGATTCCCCTGCATCATTCAGCTTCTTCTTGTAGATTGTAGTTGTATTCTTTGGCTGCAAAACTCAAAACAGTTTCCTCATCCCCTCATCATTCCCCCGTCGCTGTTCGTTTTAGTGTTCGTCACCGTCGCCCAGTTCCGTGTCATCATCTGGAGAAGAGAGGTAAGGTTACTTTCTTCGATTTCCACTGATTTCTTATTCGTTAGAACACTTTAAATATGTACCTTCCCTTCACGAATTAGGTTCAGTTCAAAAGATTTGCATTTTCAGTCTCATTTTCTGCAAAATGGTTTGTAACAGTTTATATTTAGCTTGATAAGTGGGTTTTGAAGAAATATTTGGAAACTCATAACCATGATGACCTTTCTCGTTTTTCTGCTGGGTCAATTGGGTAAAAAGGGTCATATTCATTATGAATCATTTGTTTCGCATTTTCAGTTATTTTAATTTATGGTCTTGCGTGTTTCGATTTTTCCATGTTTGTTAATCTAGTGCCAATTTCATAGTATTTGGTCACACGCTGTGAAATAGTCTTCCAGGTGAAGACTTAAATGAGCACACTGGGCCGTGGGGAATGATGAGGACAATTTGTTTGAGCTTTTGTATAAATATATGTCCACACACATACACAACTAAAACCAGACTTCTCTTTTGTAGCAAAGTAGAAATGGAGCGCATTGCATCAGAAAAAAGAAAAGAAAGGAGGCTTATGATCAGTGATTTGCCAGAGCCATTACTTCTTCATATTCTTTGTTTTCTTCCCCTAAAAGAAGCCGTCGCCACAAGTCTCTTGTCCAAGAGGTGGAGAACACTTTGGCGCTCTCTTCCCAAGCTTGAATTTGATGATAGAAGCTTTGGCAGTCTTAGATCCTTCATTCTGTTTGTAAATGCGGCCCTCCGCTTAGCTCATTTGAATTCTGTTCAAATGTTTATTCTCGATTGTAGGCATTCCCGTCTGGCCCGTGATATGGCTAAGATTTGGATCAATGCACTCGTCAGTCACAAATTAACGCATCTAGAGCTAAAAGCATTAGAGCCTGTTTCGTTGCCCTCTAGCATTTTCATCTGCAATACCTTGCGAGTTTTAAAGTTAACTGCGGTGAAATTGACTGATCTTTCTGGGGTTAATTTGCCTTCACTTGAAGTCTTGCATTTTAGGGTGGCTGTGTTTTCAAATTTTGAACTTCTGAGAAGGCTTCTTTCTAATTGTGCTCGTCTTCAAGAATTGGAACTAATTGTAGTATGGGATGTTGAGCATAGGAGGCACAGCATTGTAAGTCCTGAGGATTCATGGCACAACATTGCAAGGTTTGAACATTTGTTGTCCGCAGATGTTCCTGTTCCAGCAAATAAACACCTAATGGAAGCCATTTCTAATGTTCAATTTCTCAGCTTACGTGCGGTATGAACATGATGAACAAGTTCATACTGTTTCTTTCTTTCCTTCCAAGAGTTCATATGATAATGTTTGTTTTTAACTTGTGTTGCTCATTCCTGGTGCAGGAGGATGGAGGGTACCGTTTTGACGATACCTCAACATTTGCCAACGTCATCCATCTACAAATTGACAAACCTCCTATTATCGACTGGACCATAGTGAGCATGCTCCGAGCCTTTCCCAAGCTTCAGAGTCTTGTAATTTATCAGGTTTGGAATTAAACAATGGTTTGATGGCTTGATTTATATGCGCAATGCATTCTCTCTGTTCAGTTTCTATAACCCCGTGTGTGTGTGTGTGTGTGTGGGTATGCATTTTTGTTGTCAGGATGAGCGTGACTCGGATGGTGACTCGGATGATGACTCGGACCTGAGGGAGTTGTCAGCACCTGATGTTCCTCCCTGTGTTTCGTCTCAGCTGAAGGAGTTTGCTCTTTTTGAATTCAGAGGCTCCAAACGTGAACTTGAAATTGTGAAGTATATAATGGAGAATGCGACTGTTTTGAGGGCTGTCGTTGTGGGGAGCACTTGCGAAAGTGAAAGTGAAAGTAAAGAGAAAGACTGTGAGATGCTCGAAGAATTATCGTCATACCCCAGATGTTCTGCAGATTGTAGACTTATTTATGGCGTTTTTAGGGAACGTCCTGAGGAGGTGATGAGAAAGTTTATGACAATTAGCAAGTTTGCAGTTCGATCCTATTGGTTCTAACTCGGTCACATTCTTCTGGGAGTTTCAGATGATTTCTTGTCTCTGGTTCCTTTAATCAAACTTATGCGTACGTGAATCCCTTCAACTCCATTTTGTTCCTGAAATGGTAATCAAAGAGGTAATACTTTTAGAAATATTTCAAGTAAAAGGAAATTAATTATCTTTCAAAATCGTAAATTGCCTTGTATGTTGATACATTGACATTGCACTCTGGATCATTCCTCTTATATCTAAAATAGAGGCAGTAAATTATTCATAGTTAATTCCACGATATGAAGATGTAAAATATAAATGTTAACGGTTAGATTTGGATCCGCTTTTAATGGATTAAATTATTTAATATAATTATCTATCTAATGATATGTAATATCAATTGAATAATGGATTCAATTTAGCAAGAGTTTCAATCAAAGTAAATTAAAATATCAAAATTCAAATTAAAGTTAATATTTTTAGGTCTTACTAGAATTTTTCAAATGTTATTATAGGACTAAAATTTCCTTTTATAATAAAATAATAATTTTGAAAAACTAAAAATTAAACCATGAAAACTTGACATTATAATATTTGTTTATAAAAAATAATTTATGTCAGAAAAATTGGAAATACCCGTGGCGAAAACTTGACAATCCATTTATATATAACATTTTTCAACCAAATCTAATATATCGGCAAGAAATTTATAGGAACAAACACCTTTTATTTAACTCGAAAACTATTAAATTGATAATGTTTTGAAGTAAAACTTTTTTTTTAATTAAAAAAACCAGAATCATAATGTATTAGTAGATTTTGGAATCGTTTGGAAAAAAAGAAGAAGCAGATTTTAGACCGCTTTCCTATATCTGTCTTTATGCTAGACCTTATATTCTCATTATTTAAAAATTCATCATAATTGGAAAAAAAATTCTTCGTTTGATGGGATGGATATGAACTAGTTAATATAAACTTATACCCACAAAAAATTCATATTAGTAATTGCCAGAACTAGCCTCTCATTCTCATCAGAAGTCCACTAAAAATTGAGAATCTAATGATCAAACAGACAAGCAAGGCAGAAGGAAATGCATCGATTATTTAGTGGCATCTCAGTTAAAATAGGTTGGATTATAAGTTGATTACAGCAATCACCAACACTACCAAAAAAAAAAACCAAATTAGCGATGAAAATTAGTGACAAAATTTCCGTCACTAATCAAAATTAGTGATAGATTAGTGATGGAATTTTGTTAGTGACAGAATTTTTCTGTCACTAATTCCACTGTCACTAATTATTTAGTGATGGAATTTAAAATTCTGTTGCTAATTAGTGATGGATTACTGACAGATTAGGAACCAAAATTAGTGACATAAACTTTGTCACCAAATTTGTCATTAATTAGTGATGGATATCTAGCATAAATTTTGTCATAAAATAGTGACGGATTTGTGACAGAAAATTGCCTTACTAATCCGTTGCTAAATTTTTTTTATTTTGTAATTTTAAAATACCATGTGACAACTGCTGATTGTCGTCACATGCCATGTTGGTGACCGCCACCTCATCACCGGCCACCTCGCCACGTGTTCATTGTACAGTGATCAAGTTTTATTCAAAAAATTATTGTGTTAACTGTGAAATGAAACAAGTTAATTTAAAATTCTCTTATGGTTTTTAATTAAAAAGGCATTAAAGTCATTTGATAAAATTTTAAAATTCTTATTTGCGTCATGTGATCTAATTACAAGTTTGACAAATTTAATGACACAAATAAGAATTTAGATTATTTAAGTTTTTTTATATTTTTTAATGGATTTTTTTCTAAAAATATTTAGAGGAGGAGCATTGAGGATTACAATAGTAATATTTGAGTATTGATTATATTGGTGCTTATGTAAATGCTGATGGGAGTTCTCAATGATTTTTCTCGTGAGGCGTGAGCCTTGAAAAGGCCTCATGACGAAGAAGCAATAGGCTATGAGCTACGACAAAAAACTAAAGAAAATAAAAATTACATAACATCATGCAATATAAAAAACAAAATAAATTAAAATCTTTATATCTATGATTAAATTGAATTTATAACTAACTTTTATATTAAATATCAAAATGAGTACTATATATATTGGGCTTAGCAGATATTGTAAATCATAAATGATTTCAATGGTTGATTATTTGGCGGCATCTCTGTTTGATTAAAAAAAAAAAAACGAAAGAAAAATTTAGCTTCTCATAACTTTATTCATGACCTGCTCCACTGGAAGCATACTAAGGGTGTGTTTGGATTAGCGGTGATAAAATTGACTTTTATTCTAATTCATTTTTACAAATTTAAGTTAGGATAAAAATCAATCAGTATAATATGATTTATGTTTGAATTGATGGTTATAAAAAGTTAGTTAAAAAAGTTAAAACTTATTTAGATAATTAATAAAAAAAATAAATTTATATGTGAAATAACTAAAACGGACATGAATTTTATTGAATAGTAGTGTTTTATATTATATGATTTTAATGTGATAATTATTCAAGAAAATTAAAATTATAATTATAAAATGAAAATATTTGCTATTGAGAAAATTATAATAGGGATTTTAAATTAATAAAAAGGATTTAAATTAAAGGGTTTGTGTACAAAATTAATTTGCAAAGTGCCACTACTCTATGTATAAAAATTTATTAAGTGTTTGTCACCAATTAAATTTTTAATGAAGACAGTTTTTTTGTTATTTATAAGACACTTTTAGTTTGTTTAACACATATTAAAAAGAAAATTTTAAACTGTATTAAGTCTTTATTAAAATATATTAATAACTTTTTAACTTTACTCTATTTAATATATACACCTTTTAAAAAAAAGTAACTATATACATTATAATAAATGAAAGATAAAATTATACATTTATGTTAACAATTTAATAAAGTGACTTATAAATATAATCAGGAAAAATCTTTTCTTTCTACCTTATAAATATAATTATTGAGTATTTTTAGAGTAATTTTTATTTTTGTTAAAGTAAAATAGGACTCACCTTAGGACACTCATATCTCATCTCATTGTTACCCTTTTTCTCTCTCCATGATGGTTCCCCCGTCCCCCCAAGTTACAAGTTTTGGCTTTTGCTCCGGCCTAACTTTTTCTTAAAAGCCCATTTACTAAAAAATCAATCCAAACAATATCTTAGCTTTAAATAAGCTACTCCCTCCATTCCTTATTATAAGAGATATTTAATGTTTATAGCATGTTTTTATATATAAGAGACACTTAAAAGTTGTCTCTAGTTTTTTGTATTGATTTCCTATTTTACTCCTATTTATTTTGTCTCCAACTCATACTCTCTCTCCCTCTCACTTCTCTTTCTTTTAATAATTTAATTATTCTCTCTCATACTCTCTCTCCTTATTAATAGGGGTATTGTTGGAAAAAATATTATACTTTTTACATATTAATTATCCTCAACTAATTTTAACTGTTTTTTTTATCAACGTAATTTGATTATTTGTCTCTTATAATAAGAAATGGAGGGAGTACTAATTAAAGTTTCACTCTTTCCAAGGGTTATTTTCCCTTCCCAATAGCATTCCAAACACGTCCTAACTTGTTTCTTGATAAAAATGGATCATTCATTTATTCTACCAAAGTGGTTGGACGGAAAATATAAATTAGTCTAGTTAGTATGAACACGACTCATATCCGACAAAAGGATGATCACAAAATGAAATTAAAGTTGGAGTTTTTTTTCACAAGAATAAGGAGAATATATTAACCGTTGCATATAATCTAATAATCTCTATTCACTTGTTTAAAATTACATAATTTCACGTTTGTTTGTCATAATTTTTTTAGTTAAAGTGTTGATGAACATTTTTAAATATTACCATATTAAGTTTAATTTTTAAAACAATTATGATTGTTACAAAAAATCATCACTTAGCACTAATAATTTCAGAGTTAAATAACTAAAAATATGCTTTGTAAAGTTAAAAGATTAAACTGAAATCTTATATAAAAATAAACAATGAAATGCATAGTTTAACCTTTATTCTTTTAATTATTGTTTATTTGGCAATGATTAACTGGACGGGAAAGTGGAAACTGTGGATAAGGTAGCAAATGGTAATTTTATACAACTTAATTTTCCTGCTATGCACCTTAACTTCGTATCACGCTCTCTTGTGGCACAATCTAAGTTCTCTCCTCCAATTCATCATCTTAACAACTATTTACTAATTAATTTTTCACTGAAGAATTTATGCTCAATTTTCCCCAATAAAAAACTATGGGCATATGCATATTTCTCGCCGAGGGAAAACTTGAATGATATCATAATGTCTCTTTCCCATGGGACTCATTTACAATTTAGGAAGTTCAATTATAAGTTCAAAAATATTGATTAGTATTAGTCAAAAACATGTTGATTTCTTTAAATAAAACATTGATTTTATTCAAACCCACAAAAAACGAGATTAAAAAAAAATTACATAAAAAGGCCAACTTCAAAAAGCCTAAATGAACCATCCTTTAGCAGAACTCGGGTTTAGGATATAACGGAAAATATTCAGAGAAAGTAAAATAAAGGGGATACAAAGAGTGTGACCATTACGAAATAAGTCTGGGATGAATTAAAGGAACGAAATAGTAATACAATAAATTCACAGAGTTCTTGCACAAAAGACTAAATCATCTCAGACTTTCAGGAGTACCTTCCCAGAGAATACAATTTCTTACCCTCCAATCAGCATATATCCATTAATTATAATGAAGATAATTAACCAGACTAAATTCAAGGACGAATTAAGATTCCATCCGATCTTGGAAGTAGTAATTGAAGTCCTCATCTGACACTAACTTGCTATACACATTCTCAAATATACTTCCGGCAGGAACATCAACAAACAGCCCGCCATTCTCAGAACGCCTGGGATATGATGATAATATTTCCAGCAATTCCAAGATCTTAGCCTCTTGCCTTGGATGATCTCTAGTCCTAATCACCACAGACCTCAAAACTGTCGCATACTTCATTATAAATCCTACAATTTCCAACTCACTTTTCAAGTAGTTAAAGCCATAAAGAGCGAACGTCTTCAGATTTGATGACACGCATGGAGGAACTTCATCTTCTTCAAGACTTGCTTCCATAGTCCAATCCAGCCCCTTGCAACCCTGACCACGTACACAAGTGTTCTGTCATAGTTTAGAAATATAGATAGATAGTAGGATAAGATCACAGACTTTTTTTAGTTAACTCTCAAACCTCATCAATTAGGAGAGTTTCAAGATTGGGGAAACTTCGGAGGCAGCTCACCATGCTACTCCACCCCTTCTGAGTTAAGTACTGAATTTCCAGATGGGTCAAATTGTAAAACGTCGGAAACTTATAATCACCTGGAAAAAAACCACGCTGCACGAGCAAAGACCAGGCCAAGTTGAAAAGACTTGTGTACATAATATTAAGTTAAAAACTATTAAAAAAAAAAAAAACTCATAGTAAGTCATTCAAACCTCAACTAAGGGCCTGTTTGGGTAGCACCCCAAACCATGGTTTGGGGGCCCAAACCATGGTTTGGGGAAAATGCTACCCAAACAGACCCTAAAAAATTGCAAACCTTGGTTTCATCTGAAACCATGGTTTCACCAGAAGCTGATATTATTTGCTTGTGGGAAAAAATCGGGGACGGCTAATGTTCATTCCAAAAACACCCCAGAGATCCTTCTCTTCTCTTCGCTGGCCGACACTCCTGCTCTTGCTACTCAGCTCGAACATTGCTACGAGATCCCTCTTTTCTCTTCGCTGGCCGACACTCCTCCTCTTGCTACTCAGCTCAAGGTCGACCCTCAGCAGAAGCTATTCGCTATTCGCTACTCAGCTCAAGGCCGACACTCCTCCTCTGGCTATTCGCTTCTGGAAAAAAATTTGGGACGGCTCCGGTAGGCAATTTCCCAGATCCTTCTCTTCTTCGGCCGACACTCCTCCTCTTCGCCGAACGATCGGACTCAGCTCGAAGCTCGACCCTTCGCCCCTTATCATCAGCTCGTCTATTCGCCGCTTCATCATCAGGTCGCGTCTTCGGCCGTGCTTCATCGCCAGCTCGCCTCTTCGCCAGCTCGAGTGTTCGCCGTCGCTGCTCTGAAACTCGACACCGGTGAGATCGTCCTGGCCTCGCGAAAACAGGGGTGGTTGTGCGTTTCTCGGCTCGCCAAAACCAAAGGAAGCGTTGGGTAGTCCGATCCATCCATCCTCTGTCTCCAATCTTCGTTCTTCAGTTCGCCCGGTGAGCTCTCTCTGGTGATTGCCCAAAATTTTGTTCGTATCTTCTTGCTTATGATTCTGGTTCGGTGGTTCTGGTTCGGTTCCTCCTTTGTTTTCGGTCTGTCATCCGGTTGCAAGTGATATTAATTTTTTTAGAACCGTGGCTATTAGTATTTTGACTGTGGTATGTTGAATTGGAATGATTTGGCTGTATATCCTCTTCAATTGCAAGCTTCCTCTCGGTTCCATTTTTGAACTATCCAAACTAGGTTTTTGTTGTTCGAAGTCAGTTAACTGTGTTCATAATATTGACGAGAAATTAGCCAGACATATACATTTATTGGAGAAGGGCGGAGAATTTTGTTTGGACTTTCGCCCTCAGCCCCATCCCCCGGCCTCAGCGTCGTCCTCCTCCAAGATTTCCTTGCGAGAATCTGTTGGATTTGTGTTCATAATGTTCGTTTGGTAAATTGGTTCTGATTTTATGAAACGAAGAGGGAACAAATTCTGGTAATCAATGTCTGGTTCTGGAGGCAGGGGACTTATATGGATGGCAATTGTTATATAAATTAAATGCAATTTGTTTTTCCTGTTGTTGTTTGGGATCGTTTTTTCTGTCCAGATTTCCCCCGGAGAAGAAGCTGTGAAGTCGAGACTTTGGTTTTTTTTTTTTTGGCCGTGGATAGTACTTGTGATAATGAACATTATTTGTTAAGAGTTGATCTGATTTGGGATGAGATAAAAATTGTATTGTTCTGTATTGTTGTATTAAGGATTTTGATAAATTTATGGCCAACTTTTGAGAGTGAGGAAAAATGAAATCACAACTGAAATCCATGTATATATATTGAAGGAAGTGATTTGTATTTTGGTCAGAGGTTTATGTTGGTAGTTTTTTTTTATTTTCGGTTGACAAATCTGATAAGGATATAATTTTTAAAAAATATTATGAAAGGCTTGTGCAACATGTTATTTTTTAAAAACAATAATGTGCTTTATAATGTTATTTAATTAACATGTTATTTTGGACGTTTTAAAAGTTTTAGTATTTTGAAGTAAAAACAGATAATGAAGTTTAGAAAGGAGGGGGTGTATTTTTTCCAACCATGTAAAATTAGAATTTTCTTGTATTTGTTGATTTTTGTCACACTTGGTTTGGTAGGAAGGAATTGAGATTTAAAATGTGATCAACTTTTTCACCTATTACAGTAGACAATATGATTTTTGTTATTTCAATTGATTTTGAGTTAATTAACCTGTGATGACTGAAGAGCTATAATTGTGCTATAGCATAATGGGTAAGAATACGGTGAAAGCTTCCTGGGACCTACGAACCACAAAAGTGTTTATTGACCTTTGCATTGAACTTGTGCAACAAGGGGAAAGAAAAGGTACTAGCTTAACAAAGAAAGCTTGGGATATTCTTGGTGATAACTTTACTGCCAAAACTGGAAGAGTGTATGAAAAAGGTCAATTTAAGAATAAATATGATTCCCTACGAAAGGAGTGGCAGACATGGGATAGGCTGCTTCGTGAGACAAGATTGGGATGGGATACTGAAAGGAATACTGTCAGTGCAACTGATGATTGGTGGGAGAGAAAAATAAGGGTAATTATTCAACCTTTTGATCTTACATTTTCTCTACTTGTTAATGTTTTGTGTATATTTACTATTCTTGGAATATTTTATGATATTATTGGTGTCTAATGTGTAGGAAGTTCCAAACTACGAAAAATTCAGAGAAAGAGGACTTCAATTTAGGGATGAATTGACTCAACTATTTGGAAGTGTGGCTGCAACTGGACCACAAGCATGGACACCTTCTTCCATGACACTTCCAAGTGAAGGAACACCGAATGAAGATTTGGAAGAAGGGTCCGGAGATAGTGATGAAATTTTAGGTGCACCAACTGGTATAAGTGGGGAATTTAACACAGTGAACTTCAATGATAATAGTGGAGGTAGTGGAGGCAACATTGAATTGAGGCAGGATACCAGTGGTGGGGGTACAAGCAGAGGTAGGAGTCGACCTAGTAGCTCACTGGGGGTCAGAAGGAAGGGTGAAGTCAAGAAGAAACGCACATCTCCCTCTATGAAAATAGCGGATGCAATTAGCAAAATTGCTGAAACAAATATTTCTGAGGCCGAGCGTGGAAATGAGGTCATTTCACGAGCAGAAGCTAGAAGGTTGGAAGAAGAAGCGCGTGCTTATGAGATTTCAATTAGGGGAGTCCTGTCTCACCTGAAAACAGTTCCTGAAGTTGTCAGAGATCCTGATTTCTTTAGACGGTGCACACAACTCCTTATGGAACGGCCGGAGGCACGAGAAATGTATGCAGCTCTGAAGGATCAGAAGGAACAACTTCTACCCATTTTAGAGCATTATACTAGGGATTTATGACTTGTTTATTATATTAGACAGTTCCATATGTGTATGTTTTATGTGACCAGTGGATTGTTATATGAATCAGACAACTCTGTAACTTTTATAAATGTTTCGTAATTTCTACGTAGGAATTCTAAACTTTATGTGTATGTGCACAGGATAAAACGAATATGGATGATGAAATTAAACATGTGGAAGAGCATGCTAAGGGACGGAAAAAAAGGGTTAACAAAGTTGCAGCATTGGTTGGTGCATACGCTACTTTGAACTTGTGTAAGGAGCCTCGGCATACAAGTGCTTATACAGGCTGCATATGGGTAAGGGATGTTTTAGATGGCAACTCCAGTCGTTGTTATAACATGTTTAGGATGGAACGTGCAACACCTCACTTTTATATACTAATAGGATCATTTTAACGTCTGTGAATCACTAACGCCAGGTTTCCGTCCTGGGAAAAGATAGGGAATTTTTTTTTTCCCTTTAACATTTGAATCCGTTGATCAAATGTTTCAAACCTTCAGATAACAGATTAGTGATCCAATATCAACCCTGCTTTCAACTCAATCTATTATCACCTAAAATAATTTCATACTATACAATCTTATAATATTATATTAAAAATAAAGTAACGCTCTTGGTTGACAGCATATACGTGCACCTGACAATGCTCACCTCCTTCTTCTAAAGGATACAAAATAATATTTCCATAAAGCAAGTAAAGTTACTTGCCCGAATATTTTACTATACAATTTACAGAATTATAACAGGTATCTCTGCTCTTCAATCAGCCCACCTTCTTAAATAACCTCCTTGTCCTTCTAGCTACTAGCCTTCACTGTTCATCATAAATTGGGGGGTGAGATTCCGAAGAATCCCCGTAGTAGTAATTTCCATCAAACAAATGTGCAGATCACATAAAACATGCAAAACAAGCCATATGGAACAAAACCTTGCAAGCTAATGCAATTAAGCATTTATGCGCAATGACAGATAGACAAGCTGAATAAATAATGCGCAAATAATTGGCAATCACTGCCGCGCATATAATTGGCAATCACTGCCCCATGTCTGTTAGACAAGCTGAATAAGTAAAGCGCAAATAATTGGCAATCACTGCCCCATGTCTATCAGCTGCACGTGATCACGGCTAAATAATCCATGCAAGGAATTAAGGATTACATGTTCTCATGCTTTTTGAATAGCAATATGGTACAAACAGACATGCAGCAATCATACACAAGTGTAAGGGAGGAAAGAACTACTACCTGGTCCGCATCCCTCCAAATCAAACCTTACCGTTCTCCTTTCTTTCTGCTTCTTGGTGGGCTTGAGCAGATATAAAAACCTATTATATTAGTAAGGGTTGGTTAATACTTGATCCAACATAATTTATAAATTAAATAACTCTCTTTAAATCCCAATCTCTTTCAATCTCTACCCTTACTTAATAGTTGGTTATCCTGGACAATTTTTCTTATTTGAACTATTATCTTTGGAACGTTTCCTTCCTTATCTCAACCCATAATATTACCTTACTTAGTAACTAGCATCTCAATCAAACTATGCCACGTCCCTAAAACATACCAGCACCACTTCATTTGAAGTTTCTAAACTCAATTTAATAACCTACAATACTTGTTCAACATCTGGAGATACTAAACAGTAACTATATATTGAGTTTTCATTACAGCAATCCCTATAAACATGTATGTTTATATCTCCAATGATTCACATAACCTTGCACTTAATCTGGAAATATTTTCCAAATTTACGAACATACTTGAACATTCATAATTCAACCCACTAATATCTCTCTACATTTGAAAACTTAACCATCTAATATATAAAGCTCCCAATTTCACTCATTACGTCACACGCACGCACATACACGTCCTGGTCCTCTAAATATCATACAACTCTATAATACAAGTCCATTAGCTTTTGGGTACCATTCTCTCCTTAAAAATTCGGACAGCCCCACTGAATAAATCTGATTTTTTTTCCAGCTTTGGGAGTATAGATTCACATATTAATGCTCTGTTTTAACTTCAGTAAAAACTGAATGGCATGCCGTCAAACAAAGTTTCAGATTCGAAACACATGAATTTAAATCAGCAACTACAAGCTTGGATTATTATACTTCACTTTCACAAGCTATACCCGAAGCCAACAACTTGCAGAAATAACCACCTGTTTGGTAATCATAAACAGAGCAAAGCAGCGCATGCAACGACGTCAAAGTATACCAATATGTTATATCAGTTCGGTAATCTCAAAACAGAGTATCAACCTTACATGCAAGCCCAAAAACCGGTATCATATACCTCATTCTCGCCTCAGGACACGAACCAACCGGTCCTCCTCTTCTTTCGTCCATTTTCTCTCACTAACTCATCTCTCTCTCTCTTCCATTACAACCCAACTACGCCGATAACAGAAAAGAAAATGGTGGGAGTTTGATCAGGATGCTCACCTTGACAGTTTAACCGGTTTGCATGCAATTGAATCACCTCCGATCACCAAGATTCAGCACAGCATCTTCTCCCCTGCTCTCCCTCTCTCGCTCGCGCTCTCACTTTGATTTTCCACGGACACCGAAATGAATGAAGAAGTGGGTGAGTGTCTGATGGTTAAAAGGGCAGGGTACACGTATGAGGTGAGAGATATTCTTGGACCAAATTGCCCCTCTAACCATTCTTACTTCCAATTTCATCCTCTCACTAAATTTCTGAAATCATAGAATAAATCCAAAAATTTTCCATGATGTTTTGTTTGGATTTTCCTTCTCCATTATCTTCTTTGACCCATAAAATAATTTCTCTAAAAATTTCGGGTCAAAAGTCAATTCCTAACTGTTTTTCTAGAATTTTCAAGAAAATAGTTCTTAATTTCAGAAATTAATCCTTAACCCATTTTAAGGATTTTATGCCTCAAATAAATTCTCTACATCATAAGATAATTTCCCTAAAATTTTCTAGTTATTTAGAAACCTCTAAGTATTTTTCCCTAATTTTCAGAGAAAATAAACCATTTTTCTCTTAAAATTATCTATTAAATTTATTTAAGCCACTTTTTGGGGAATGAACTTTTCCAAAATATTTCTAAACCTTGAAAAATCAATATTCCATAATTTTTCCTAATTGTGCTTGAGCTATTAAATAATTTTAATGAAATTTCTCTTTTCTGCTCATCCTGAGTCAGAAAATTCGGGGTGTTACAGAACGGGATGTGTTCTTAAGTCTGGTGGAACAATTGCAACAACATGGTCTAAAAGAAACTAAAAATATAGGGATACATGAATCAGTTGCAATGTTTTTACATACCGTTGGGCATGCACTTAGTAGCAGAATGCAGCAAGAAAGATTTCAACATTCAGGGGAGACAATTAGCAGACATTTTCATAATGTCCTAATGGCATGCTGTAGACTTGCCATGTCTAATATCAAACCAAAAGATCCAACATTCCGGCATGTTCATACAAAAATTCGGTTTGGTAAATACTGGCCTTTTTTTAAACATGCTATTGGAGCAATTGACGGCACACATGTTTCCTGCGTTGTCAGTGCAACAGATCAAACTAAATTTATCTCTAGGAAAGGAACAGTGTCACAAAATGTCATGGCGGTTTGTGATTGGGACATGTGTTTTACTTTTGTCTTGGCCAGATGGGAAGGTAGCGCACATGATGCTCGGATATTTGATCATGCCCTTACAACTCCTTCAATGAACTTTCCCCATCCACCTGAAGGTATTTTTTTATTTCCTATATTTTTTTTATATTTAGCTTAACAATAGAAACATAATTTACAATAATTTCATTTTTTATATAGGAAAATATTATTTGGTGGATGCTGGATACCCAACACCGAATGGATATCTCGGCCCATACAGACGGGAGCGTTACCATTTGCCTGATTTTCGAAGAACATCTGAGTTTGAAAATGACAATGAGATCTTTAATTATTTCCATTCAAGTTTAAGGAGTACAATTGAAAGAACTTTCGGAGTGTGGAAAAAAAAGTTCGCAATCTTACAAAACATGCCATCTTATAATTTTGAAACACAAGTTAAAATCGTTTGTGCAATGATGGCTATACATAATTTTATTAGAACGACATCTATTACTGATCCTGGATTCGTTCAGTTGGAAGAAGAAGGTACTTATGCAGAAGATGATGATGATGGGGTTAGATTTTCACGTATACATTCATCAATTCAATCTTCATCTTACATGGCTCAGGTTCGTGACAGCATAAGAGACGAACTTGTTAATTCAATACGAGGATAGTAGTCATGTCTTATTTATTTCCTTTTATCATAGATTATAATATGTAGTTAAAAACAAAACCTATTACACATGCTTTGTATCGATGCATCATCTTAATGATTATGACACTTCTTTATTTATATTTCTCTTATTAATATTATGCCTTATATTCTCAAGCTAATTATTACTTACTTGAATAATTAATAAATTATTTTAAGACATGTTTATTCTATTTTATCAAACAATATCATCCCATTTTATGTTTATAATCTTCATGAAAAATACATGACTTTCTGTTTGCAACAAAATAATTCATCTTCTCTAAAAATATTTTTCACTCTTATATTTTATGAATATATATGTGTGGTGACAAGTAATTAATTAATTGTATTAAACATCAGAGGTTATTATATATGTAGTATGTTATTACAAAAAGTAGTTGTGAAAAAATGTTATGGGATTTCATGTTTACAATCTTTAAACCAAATTAATATTTTTCTGTTATAAAAAAATCATTTTTCTATAAACATGTTTAATATTATGTTTTATAAATATATGTACACATATTAATTATGTAGTAATTATATTATCTTATATATTATTAATTATGTTAGTAAAAAAATTTTCATTAACAATTTTATTTCTTCAAATCAAAATAAATCATAAAATCTATCCTTTATATAATTATCATATTAACTTATACCCTTTTTGGTAATTTTCACATGTAAAAAGCACTTCTGGTAATAACTATCCAAATACTCTCACTTCTCAGAATCACTTTTTCTCAGAATCTATTCTCCACAGAATCTATTCTCCAGAATCACTTTTCCAAACCACGGTTTGAAGTCATCCAAACACACCCTAAGCATAAAAGTGTAACATTAGAAAACACTTTCATTGGGAATAGATCTGCCTGAACCAGTGCAGTATCCAAGTGATGAAGTCTTCCAATGTCCAGCGTAGTGGTCTCATCATCAGGTAAATCCACATACAGTAGAAACAATTCTTGTAGACGAACACATTTAGAAAGAAGCATTCCTAAACTTTCAGCGTCCGAGAACTCAACATACATCATGTGCAAGGCCTTAAGAGATGGCAGATGAACAGAAGAAAGATTGCTCACCTTCACCCTAACCAACTTTAGGATCCTAATGGTATTGTTGTTGAAAATGGTAGAGGGTAAGGGCAACCTAACTACAGAATATGCACAAGTGGTTTCCACATCTTTGACAAGAGCATCGTCGCAGCAACATCTTTGGTTTGGAGAGATTTAGAAGAGAGAATATGCAGAAGCAATGAGTCCGGCAGTTTGCTGATCCTGTCCCTCATTTTTTCTTCGGCTTCTGTGTTTTGAAGAAAGGCTAGGAAGGCGGAAGAGAAAGGTTTTAGTTACTGAGTTCAGTCTCAACAAAACAGCAATAGTAAAGTATTGCCCAGTCCCCTCCAACGATCCTATTTACGATAGCTTTTGACTCTTGTTGATCGCCTCAATAAATGCCTGGGCAGAAATATATTTTCAGTGATCTTCACGCGTCCACAATTTCAGAAAGAATATTATGAATCGGCAAAATAAACGATGATGATAAATATCAATAAAATTAATTAAAAATAAGGTTATTTGGTAATCAAAATAATAATGATAATATACTGATAGAGTTACTTTGCTTTAATTGATTTTTTTTTTTGGGATTTTAGTGTCACAGGTTACTTTCCTTTAACTTTAAATATGAATCACCTAATATAACTTTTTATTGTTACCTAGAGCTCATATTTTATTCTTATCTTCAAATTTTAGCTATTACTCTCTTCCGTTCAAAATATAAGTTAAATTTTTTCTATTATATTTATCAAGAAACTAATTAAAATCAATTTAAAACAATAAATATGTAATGTATATATTTGTTTTTCTAATATACCCTTATTAATAAAGAGAATAAATAAAAAAATATAATAAAAAAATTAAAAAGAAAAGAGAATATATGGGAGTAAAATTAGAAAAAAAAATCATTAAATGCTTGGACAAAAATAAATGTTATCTTATTAAAAAACCTACCATTTTAAAAAAGTTTAACTTATATTTTGAATCGGAGGTAGTATTATCTTAATCAAGGCTGAGCTAAAAGGGAAGGCACTGTAGCATACTTCTTTGATCCTATTTATAAAATACTTTCAGCATATTTTATACAGATTAAGAAAAATTTTAAAATACATTAACTTTCCATTAAAATATAATAATTTTTAATTTTATTCATATTTAATATATACACATTTTAAAAAAAACTCTCTTTATCTATCTTATAAATAACATGAGACGAGTATATACATTGATTTGCGCATTTATTTACACATTTATTCACAGAATCAATTGTCAATCATCATCGTCAGCGGAGGATCTGCTCCTTTCGCTGTCTTCACTTGGTTATTGGAGGAAGGAAACTACACAGAACCAAACAAGCAAGAGGCAAAGCACCAGCAGTCACCTCATATTAGTAAGCTGCCTACGTCGCTTTATCTGACATCGTGGTAGCCTCCATTTAATACAATAATTTTATCACTAAAATAGAAAGTTTTTTTAAAAAGAACTTTAATTAAACCTAATAAAATTATAACAGAATTTTAATATGAAGATCTATTGACAACCTCAACAGTAAGTATTAACAACTCAAAAAGAACTGCTGACAACCTAGATAGTGTTTGTTGACAATTGACTTTATAAGATAATATAATATCTATATAAGATCAAATTATAATTAAATAGTATAACATAACAACTTTAACACTATTAGTTTTAGTTAAAGTACTTAATACCTTCAAAAAGCTTCCCATTTCAATGATAAATTGGTTGGCTTATATTATTTAGTTATAATTTTCTCTTATGTGGAGGTTATGTGATCATATACAGTAAGTTGTCAGTAGATACTGTTTAGGTTGTCAACAGTTTCTGATTGAGTTGTTAATAATCACTGCTGAGATTATCAATCGTAATGGCAGAAAAAATATGAATTGCGAATTTGAGGGGTAGTAATGTCATTTTATAATTAGAATATAATACTCTAGAGTCCCGTGAGACTTGCTAATAATTTTGACGTTTGTAGGCCCTTACAAGAATAAATTCTACTCTTTGGGACCGGTGGATAATTTTCCCTAAAATCATTTCCTCTTAATTCTTAATTATTTCACAGCATTTACATATATAGTGTATTCTTTTCCTCCCTTTACCGAACTAACTTTACACCATAATCCTCTCTTCTTCAAAGCTTCCAAACAGCCACCTCTCCTTGCT